CATTATCCCTGCCCCTTACTATTTTGCTTCACCTATTTCCTTATATGTACTTTATCATGAAATCCTATAGCTCAGTGTGGAAATCCTATAGCCTACGTGCAGAACTCTTCCAAGGTACGTGTACATGTAGAAATTGTGTAGAAATCTTGCAGTCTACGTGTAGAAATTTTGTGTAGAAATCTTACTGTCTGCGTGTAGACATTTTACAGAGTACGTGTCACTTAACTTTACTTTTTATTCTAAAATTTTATTCCTAACACTAACCATAATTATTTTAATTTAAATGTATGTAATTATTTGCTCTTACCCTGCCTCCCACTTCCCATGTAGCAAAGCAAGTTCACTGGATTGGTGGGACAGTTTACTGAATTTTTGCTGTTTCCAATGGAAGGCAGTTATATAGATATGGGACTTGCAAAATATGCCCCCAAAGTATAGTTTTCTGTAGCTACTTAAGAAATGTTCAGTTTGTTTACTTTTTTGTCGAGTAAATTGAATAAAATGATAAAATATCATTTTTGTCATAAATTACTGATTAGTGTGCGCGGATATCAGTGAGCATACCGTACCCATTTTTTGTTTGTTTTGAGAACGTAATTAAAAACTGACGCAATATGGATGAAAGACAGCGGAAAGGGGGATTCCGATTCAATCAGAAAATCCATGTGAAAAAAAGATCGTAATTATTAACCCCCACCCCCAAAATGCGGCAAGGCGTGGACAGCAAAAAGATACAGTAGATTCAGACGCTTTACTTCTGGCAAACTTTGAAAGCGGCCGCTTCCAATCATCTTCCAGGGGGGCGCTAGACTGATACAGCTGTACTTGAGGTTGGAACTCTATGGTCGAAAACTGTGGTTCTTCAGTAGCCGAAGGCGCCAGAAATGGGGGAAGGTCTTTGATGAGCGGAATGAGTCATCAATTCTGCGACAGAATTTCTTCATCCTTTACGCCTCAGGACGCGACGATTTGAAGGTCCTGCGCTTGCCCAGTGGCTGCGTGGAGCCTAGGCTTCTTGATCGACGCGGGCCGAGGTGACCGCGTGTTGATGCCGATTGCTGGGGCGGTGGAGGCTGGAGAAGGGGAAGGGGGATGGAAGAGCTAGAGGGCGGGAGGGGGAAGCGACAGTAGAGTATTTGAGCTAACTGTAAAGGGTAATAGGCACAGTACATTCTTTTCCAGGATGTCTGCCTTTCTTTGATCGGTTAATTTTAAATATTATTTAGCTGAGTTTTGGACACAAGTTTTGGTAAAGTTTATAGTAATGGGTAGTGTTATTATTACGTATCAAGTTTCCCCAACCAGATGTTCTCCAGATGTGTTGGTCTTCAACTACGACAATTCCCATGGGGGCTAAGGTTTGTGGGAGGAAGCCCAATACAGCCGGAGGGCATCAGACTGGAGTGAAAAAGCCACATATATATATTAAAAATGTCATTGACTCCCAGCGCCTTCCAGCAACAACTAGCACAAGGGTGGAAGAGCCTGTGTTGTTGGGGTAGGGCATTGCTCAACATTTTATGAAGGAGATTCCTTGGGAATGGCGATGCCAGATGTGCAATACCACATAAGGTGTATATGGATACACCAGGCTTTTCTGCTTGTTTTTTGTTTTGTGAGGAAAGATGGTAGGGTTATTAAATTACAATACATCTGTATTAGGCTTCCTATTATAATTGTGGAGTTATTTTTATTAATTGTATCAGTGGACTGGCTGGACAGGCTACATACCTAATCTCAAGGACCAGAAATCTCATCCATATAATGGTTTCAGTTACATCTAACATTTCCTTTCTGCTCAGGAGGCAAAGTTTCTCTTGATCAAAGAGTACAAACATTGATATTCCATTTTTCAAATCAATAAAAATAAATGCATACATATGAAAGTATTATATTCACTGGACTTTTCAATCTTTATATTTATCCTCCAGGGTCAGACATTGTGAGTGACAATCCAAAGTTGTCGCCATGTCGCGTTTCTTTACCACTGGCTCAGACAGTGAGTCAGAATCATCGCTCTCTGGAGATGAATTAGTAACCAAACCTGTTGGAGGCAATTTTGGGAAACAGTAAGTATGACAGGAATGGTAAGGATTGGAGAGATGGGTTCAAAGCTTCCTACAAAATAATTAGATTGGGTAAAATGGACGTAGTGACAGATTTTGCATATTGGTTCAGATTGCTGAGTGAAAATAAATGATATTGCAATTTGCATTTCTAGTCTAGTCCTGGAATAGCATTAGGCTCAGAACTGTAGAAGCTAATCTCAAGTCCATAATTAAGAATAGTCTAGAAAAAAAACATTCAGGTGTTAATATTATTTGTTGAAGGATCCCTGTACAGATGCATTCAAACATGTTAGAAAACAATCCTCTTGGTGAGTTTTTTCTAATAATTTGGCATGAGCTCTCTGTCTTACAGTTATTCCCCTCTGACTTCCAGTTTCCTCTATCAGTTATTCACATATATCTATCAACTGTTTCTCTTTTCTTATAGGCCTCTGCTGCTGAGTGAGGATGAAGAAGATACAAAGAGAGTTGTACGCAGTGCTAAAGACAAAAGGTATGTATAGATTGTTACTGGAAGAAGGGCACCTAAAGTTTGGAGGATTGAACCAAAATTATATTTTTCAATCTCTACAAAGCCCGTTATCCTGTTGGTAACTGGTTTCCATTCGACTTAGTGGCATTGTTTTCTCTGAGCCCATAGCCTTTATTCATTGCTTAGATATATCTCCTTATTTTGTCTTTTTCATCGCCCGCTGGTTTAATTGTTCTTTGTCCACTTTTTCCTGTGTGCCAGATTTGAGGAACTAACCAATTTGATCAAAACAATACGGAATGCTATGAAGATCCGAGATGTCACCAAATGTCTGGAGGAATTTGAGTTGCTGGGCAAGGCTTATGGGAAGGCCAAGAGTATTGTTGACAAGGAAGGGGTGCCCCACTTCTATATCCGCATCTTGGCAGATCTTGAGGACTATCTCAACGAGGTATTAGCTGGGGATCATGATAGACAAGAAAATTGTTGGTTTATTTTTTTTGTGGTCTGATGAGGAAATGTTACATATCCATTCAGGAAAGCGCTTCTTTAGTGTGTTGAAACATGCTCCCCCCTGTGATACAAAAGAAATGGGTCATATCTAACAGGTCTACTATGGGTCTTTTATCAGAAAAGTCTTTGATGGAGGTCACGTAACAGTGGGCTTCAAAATTGAGGCAAAGCTGTGATAATCTTTCCTGACTCTATCCCTGTCTCTTTATTTCTAGCTAGTTGCCGGTTCATAATTAATTACAATATAGCTCTGCGCAACGGGTAAGCTCCCGTTACTCATCCCAGCTCCTGCCCATCGAGCACTTCGAAAGCATGCAAGTGCAAGTACATTAATAGGTACCATTTTGGTGGGAAGATAGTAGCGTTCTATGCACCTTTGGTGTATAGTCATGCTGGCAACATGACCATGGAAATTATCTGGGTCCCTTGGCCAAGAAAAGGAGATGGGCACACCATGCCCTAGAGTCAGACACGACTGACAGTGAAACCTTTGCCTTGTAATGTAGATAGTGCAGGCTCATATCATTTCCAGAAACTTAGAAATCATGATCTATTTTCCTTTGTTGGGGAGTGGTTAACCAATACATCTGAAAGTAGCTTTGGTTGATGTAGAAAAAAAATTGGCATTATGCTACACGTTATGAAAGCTAAATCTAAAAGCTTCCAAAAAGCATTTTGTTCATTCAAGAAAGTAATCTTGGTAAATGATTCCAGTTTTTCTGCACAAACATTTGGCAAGAAAAAATCCTAGTAAATATGTTTTCTTCAAAAAAGAATACTGGTATTCAAACTTTAGGTCCTTTGCTGGTTTCTCCCAGCTCTTTAGAACTCTTGTACAATGGGCTCATAATCAGTGCTGCCAACTCATATATGAGCCTTCCTATTTGTTAAGATCAAATTATTTTAATCAGCCCCTCCAGTCATTATTTACAAAGCGTTCATCTAGTGTCTGTATGATGCTCAACCACTATGATCCTCAGTGCTGCTCAGTCATGGAAGGTGGAGACCAGCATCTGGTTGGCATCAGGTTAAAATAAAGTCATCATCTGAGATCTATTTTCAGAGATTATGTAGCTACAGCAAGAGTTGTAACCTTTTTGGTAGTGATGGCTCATTTATATCCCTCCACACCTTTCTCTACATTCATTTAATACTAATCCATTAATAATAGTTTCAGTAGCTATCTGGATTTTGGAATTGGCATGTTTTTGATAGTTTAGTTTGTTTGTTTTCCCAATTTTTTTTCATACTTTAAGCCTTTTTGTGATCATTGCTTTGGCCTAAAAGAACTCTTCTGCTATTCCGAAGTGTAACAAACTCAGTGCTTTGTATCTGAGTTGGTCATTTGAAAATGCTATCTCCATTAATCATTGATACTTGCTGTTTCTGATGCATCTTGATGGTAAGAGGGCACATAAGCCTGTGCTGTATGCACAATATTAACTGGATCCTAGGAGAGTAGTTACTGAATGGTATAGGTGTTGCACAGCTTGAGGAAGCAACCAGTGCTGCTCTCCATATGCCATCTTTTTCTTCTGTAGGTTTGGGAAGACAAGGAAGGCAAGAAAAAAATGAACAAGAACAATGCCAAAGCACTGAGTACCCTCCGCCAGAAGATCCGGAAGTACAACCGAGATTATGAAACCCAGATAACTGCTTACCGCCAGGTATTGACCTACGCAGGAAAGGCTGCAGAGACGTATTTTACAACAACTGCTGTGTGGAATTGGTGGTTTAGCTGGGTTGTCCATACTAACACTAACAGCAAACGTGTAGGATTATGGCTGAAGAGAGGACTTGAACAGCCATGTTTGCGATGGACAAGAAAGTTGTTTGGCTAATACGGGGTAGAAAAATATATATCATGATCTTGGCATGTTGGTCATGTTCTCCTAGAATCCTGAGCTGTCAGCTGATGAAGATGAGGACAAGAAAAGTGATGATTCAGAGGGTAAGTGATGATGCAGGAGCCATGGCAGTTGAAGGATGTCCTCTTGTTCCGAGTATGATTTGTTGTTTGAAATCTCCCCTCTCAATGGTTCCTCCCATTTTCCGCCTTCAGGATCTTCTTCCTCAAGTGAGGATGATGATGGAATAAGTGCCTCAGCCTTCTTGAAAAAGAAAGAGGGAGCAGCTGAGAGTCGCAGCAAGTTTCTCAAAAAGATAGAGGTGAGAGTCTCAAGGAAAGATTTTATGACTCACCTCAGGGCTCTCCAAGAGGATTCAGAGTAGGAGAACCCAAGCCTCCCTGGGGGAATGTAAGACAGAATTTCCCATTTTTCTCAGCCAGATTATCCACGTCAATCAGATTTTATTAGAGACAAAGCAGTTTTCTGCTAGAGGGAACTTTGCTATACTGTGGCAGCAAATTCCTTTGGAAGATGATTTGCTGGAGTAATATATATATTTTTTCCTGACAGGACGAAGATGAGGAAGAAGAGTCAGATGACGATGAAGATTGGGGCTCATCAGATTCAGAATCTGATTCAGAGTCAGATGAAGATGAGGGCAAATACACCTCCTTGGCTTCAAAATTCCTTAAGAAGTAAGGACAACATTCCTTAGAGGCAAGGGGAGGTGGGGACCTTACCTTCGTGCAACATCATCCATCATGCACTACAGGTGGTTTATGTTGGTAATTGGGACTGGAATTTCCATCACTAAAGAAGTGCAATTGTAAAATGTGGCATCACAGCATCACGACAATCACAGCAGTTCCATTGCTATTTTTAAGTGATTACCATGGGTTGTTAAGCAAGGATCTTCTTGCCTCTTCCTGCCAGCTTTTAACAAGCAAAGTCAATGGAAGTCAGAAGTCCCAGGTGGGTAAGTGGCTACTGTCAGGGATCAATGGGCACAGAAGTAGCCACCAATTTTTGTGATATCGTGCAAGTTCACGCACTCTGGGGGCAGCTGCTGCTGGTTTGGGGAGGGTGTGCAAACTGCCCTGTGCTCTGCTACCCTTGCCACCCTCAACTGACTCCGTCTCCTGTTGCTAATGTAGGCATGGCACCAGTCTTTATGAGGCCTTCTTCCTGAGACCACACATGATATTCCTGAAGCCTTGTGAGAAGGCTGCACACATCCTCAGAAAGGAGGCCTCATACAGCCAGCAGTTGCCTCATGGAGGGCACACCTTGTCAGCAGCAGAAAGAATAGCTATTACTTAGATTTATATACCGCTTCATAGTGTTTTACAGCCCTCCCAGAGCAGTTTACAGAGTCAGCCTATTGCCCCCAACAATCTGGGTCTTCATTTTATTGACCTCGGGAGGATGGAAGGCCGAGTCAACCTTGAGCTGGTCAGAATTGAACTGCTGGCAGTCGACAGAATTAGCCTGCAATACTGCCTTCTAACCACTGCACCACCACAGATCAGTGGGGGCAGCAGGGTTCATGGCAGCTGGATGGCAGAGTTCATGCTCTGGTCAATGTCAGTAAGTTGCAAAGTGTCCAGATTTTGTTTACATGACCATGGGGGGGCGCTGCCTTAACTTCAGGGACCGGGCATAAGTGTCATTCTTTCAGTGCTGTCATAACTTCAAATGGTCACTGAATGAATGGTTGTTAAGCGAGGGCTACTTGTATAGCCGTATTCCTCAAGTTTCAGGCTAAACAGATTGTACTTGTTGTATCTTAATGTTTTTGGTTTGTGCTTACCTGTCTAGAGGGCAGATGTTTTAGGTTATAACCAGCAGCCCCAGTCGTCTATATGAGCTGTCTTATATATCCAAGCATCTTAAAAGCTTAATCAATTTTTCTTTGTTTTTGGTTTCTCCTGCGATGTGAAATTTCAAGTTTAGTGACTGATATTTTAGATCCAGGAAGTACTTGCATCAACAAATCAAGATAGCAGTTATGACTCTTGAGTTCCAGGCTGTCAAATCTGCCAGTAGTTATCTATGCCATAGTTCTAGCACAGTCAGATTATGTCAATTTTGTTTTCTAGGGGTTACCTTTGAAGAACACAGGTTGCAGCTAAGCTACTAGTTGGGTCACAAAAACACAATCTTGTTATGCGTGTCTTTCAAGTGAGGCCCCTATTGATTGACAAAAGTTTTTGGACGACAAGTCAGAATGAAGGTTTTGCCCTTTGAAAACATAAACTGTAGATCTGCTCTACAGACAGCTCTGTCCCTGTTCTTATCATGCAGTCAACAGGAGAGGCCTCCTTAAAGATGTCTCTGTTTTTAGAGACCTAATTGTTGGGCACCCTGGAAAATCTGTTATGGTGCTATTGGCAGACTATTGAGGCTCCTATGTTCGATTCTCAGACTTCCTACTTACAAGAAAGAAATCCACACCTTCTTCAGCCAAACTTTTATGACCTAGATCGGGTAGGCAACCTTGGCTCTTTTATGACTCGTGGACTTCAACTCCCAGAATTCCTGAGCCAGCCATTATTGGTAATTTTAGCTCTTTACAGGATTTTTGTTCCTTAACTTTTAGAGTTAACCAGTGTGCATGTCCTATACAGGAAGTCCTTGGCTTATGACGATTCCTTCAGGGAGCACTCAGAGTTACGATGGCACTGAATGAAGAGGACCTATGGCAGGTCCTTGGAGTTCTGGCCGTCGTAGCATCCCCTGCAGCACGGGGATCATGTCATGTGATCACATTTTTTTTCAATATTCCCTGCCAGCTTCCCAAAAGCGAGGTCAGGAGAAGCTGGCAGGAAGTTGGAAGTTATGATCACATGAGGTCCTTGCTTAATGACTGCAGTCCTCATTTAATGACGGCAACCAGGACTGCTGGAATAGCTGTCACTAAACCACATGGTTGCAGGACACTGTGCTGATGACATCATTTAGAAATCCTGGTCTCAATTGCTGTTGATACATGCAGATTTCCTATAGGTTGAAAGCTACATCACTTGATCTATTAGTAGTTGATTCCGATCTTAGCAGACCAGGGATCTGTGCAAAGGTAGGTAGATATCAGGGAAATCTTGGTATATTGGAGTAATATAATCTCGCCTGTGAAGGTTTGGGTTCAAATGCACTCGGGATGGAAAGAAAGGGAGCTACTTTCATTAGAACAGGTTTGATCTGCAGTATTCAAACCCAACAATGTTTCTGGGATTAAGTGTAGGTAGCTCAAGATTTTAGAATCACGGCATTGAAAAAAACCCGGATCTGTTTAATCCTCCAAAATTAGAATTGGCACAGAGGAGGAAAAGAGGATTCTGGAGAAGAAAAAAGAAGAGAAAGCAAAGAAAAAACAAGACCGTAAATCCAAAAAGTATGAAGATGATGAAGAAGATGAAGGAGGCGAATGGGAAAAAGTCAAAGGGGGTGTCCCTCTGGTTAAGGTGAGGCATTGCCAGTGGCTTCTCTTTCCAGCTGGGAGATTAGCCAGAGAAGGAGAAGAAGGAATTGGGAAGTTTATCCTTTATTTTTTTCTCCCTGTAGGAAAAGCCAAAGATGTTTGCTAAGGGCACAGAGATCAACCATGCTGTGGTAGTGAAGAAACTCAATGAAATTCTACAGGCTCGTGGCAAGAAAGGCACCGATAGGTGAGACAAAAAAATTTGAACATCGCTGGGCAAGAGTAACTAAAATCATTCTCAAATTGACCGCTTGCTTTTTCGTTCCTCTGGGAGGCTGTCATTATGAAAAGAAATATGGCGGTAAAAATATATGCACAGAGAATGTCCACCTTGCCTGATACTGAAATCTTTTCCTCTGAAAGGATCTGGTCAGTTCTGAGCTTCATGTGCACATTAATACATGATGCAACATCTTTTGCACTGAAGCAGACTTAATCTTTCATCAGGCTGATAGTAAGGAGGAATTGAGCAACACTTGCTGCTCGTTTACCGTATTTTTCCGTGTATAAGATGCTATTTTTTCCTGCAAACACCCTGTTCAAAAATCAGGTGCGTCTTATACAAGTGCAGCGTCTTATACATGAAAAAATAATGGTAACCTCCGCAGCCCAGGGCATGCCTGTGTGGGTTGCCATGCCACCTGGTGCAGGTGTCAAGCCCCTGTGGGCTTGCCACTAATGGGGGAGGGGGCAAGATCATCGGCCGGCCAGCCAAACTTCCGGATTTGCCAGCTCAGCTGTTCAGCGCTCTGCCGAACAGCTGATCGGCGCGGAGAAACGGCGGGGAGTTTAAAACCTGCCTTCCCTTGCCTTGCTGTCATGCCGGTGCTCACGCCGGTTTGTTTACCAGGGTTGGAAGGCTGCTACTGTGAACTGACTATGCATGCTCATCATGCCGGATGCTGGTTAGGTGGGGGGGGGGGGGGGGCTGGCCGGGAGGCGTCTATTTAGAGCGCTGGGAGGCGGTTGCTCCCAGCGCTGACTTTGTTTGCTGTAAGCTTGGAACTCGCATGCCAGAGCGTCTTATACAATGGTGCGTCTTATAGATGGAAAAATACAGTACATCAACCCCAGCTAAATGTCTATGGAGATTCTCAGTCATCCGGGTAATGGTTGTCCCAAAGGTGCTTTTTCAAGAGGCAACTGGACTTCCGGTGGCTGGGCGGCTGCCGAAGGAGGCTTTTTGACAGCCTCCCGTCCGGGACTGCGTAAAAATCGCCAAAACAGCGCATATCAGCTGTTTGGCGATCTGAACCTTCTCTCCGGGCAAAGGAGAGAAGGAGAGCTTACTCTGGAGTAGGAGTCGCGTTCCCTAGTCTCCCTGGGGGCTCCCAGCGAGGCGAAGGTGAGAACTCCTCCGGAGCTCAGAGTTCCTCCGCAGATCGGGACATCTTCGCTATTTAGCGAAGCCAGACACCGTCTCCACCTCTGATGTTTTTTCTGAATTTAATTGTGAGTACTTTTAACAGACGGAGCTGACTAGGAAACTTGGACTTTTTATAAAGAAATTATAACTTTGACTCAGAAGAATAAAGTACTCTTCTCAGATGATTGAAATCGAAAGTTAACTTTTGGGGGGGAAAAATGGCTGCGGCTTAGCCGCTTCTTTGTTCTAAAGAGACACTTTCACTTTCCTTCCGGTTGTGGATTGCTACATTTTAAGACTATAAAGAATTTTCAAAAATTAAGGAAAAATTAAAGAAAAATTTGTTTGATCTCTTGCATTGGACTGTATATTAAGACTCTTTTTAAACTTAAGAATGGCTTCTCAACGAGTTGTAGTTGCTGCAGCACCTAAGCCAGCTGTTTCTTCTCCAGCTGTACAGACTACGCATCAGAGAGCTAAAACTCCTCCACCCTCCCCACCACCTTATATTACTTTAAAGGATCTGCAGGATTCTTTGATGCAGATGTCTAAACAAATTGTGCAACAAATGAGAGTGGAGACAGAAGAGCTTCTTGCTAAAAANTTTATGTAATTATATTATTATTCATTATATAGTTATTGTATATATTTTATGGTTATGTTAAGTTGATATGTGTTTATTTGTTTTTAGAGTTAAAGTATGTTTATATTTGATTGTATTATGGTCGGGTAGTTTTAATTAGACTTGGGATGATATGTGCTTAACCCTGTATTCAGTTCTGGGAAGTCCGGGGGGGGGGGGGAAGGAGGGTAGAAATATGTAAAAGTTGGTGTATTAAAACCTCTGATGTTTTTTCTGAATTTAATTGTGAGTACTTTTAACAGACGGAGCTGACTAGGAAACTTGGACTTTTTATAAAGAAATTATAACTTTGACTCAGAAGAATAAAGTACTCTTCTCAGATGATTGAAATCGAAAGTTAACTTTTGAAAAAAAAATGGCTGCGGCTTAGCCGCTTCTTTGTTCTAAAGAGACACTTTCACTTTCCTTCCGGTTGTGGATTGCTACATTTTAAGACTGTAAAGAATTTTCAAAAATTAAGGAAAAATTAAAGAAAAATTTGTTTGATCTCTTGCTGCATTGGACTGTATATTAAGACTCTTTTTAAACTTAAAGAATGGCTTCTAAACGAGTTGTAGTTGCTGCAGTACCTAAGCCAGCTGTTTCTTCTCCAGCTGTACAGACTACGCATCAGAGAGCTAAAACTCCTCCACCCTCCCCACCACCTTATATTACTTTAAAGGATCTGCAGGATTCTTTGATGCAGATGTCTAAACAAATTGTGCAACAAATGAGAGTGGAGACAGAAGAGCTTCTTGCTAAAAAGAATGATGAATTGTGTGAGAACATGTCTCAAATCTTTCAGGGTTTTGCTTTTCATATGGATCGTATAGAGACTCGTGTGGAGGAAGTGGGTGAAAAAATGGAAGGGATGGAGGAGAGAATGGAAAAAGTAGAAGAGAGTATAGAGATTGCTCAAAATGACATTGTAATGACACAATTCAGAGAGATGGAATATGCAATAAGAATCAGAGGATTGCGAGAGGATGCACAGGAGAAATTGAGAGAAGAGGTATCAGCTGCCTTAGCGCTGGTTTTCGACTGCGATCCTGAAATTATCTATGGAGAAATAGAAAAAAATATTTAGAGTCAATTCATGGGTCGCACGTCAGAGAAAACAGCCCAGGGATGTTGTTGTTTATTTTTCTAGAAAAACACGTCGAAATGAAATTATACAGGCCTTTTACCAACAGAGATTTCAGATTGCTGCTCAGGATATTATACTTCTGAAAGAAATACCTTCAAAGATTTTAAGAAAAAGAAAGGAGTTTGCTTTCTTAGCTCAAGAGTTGAAGAAGCAGCAAGTACCTTTTAGATGGGAAATACCAGTTGGAATGGCCTTAACATATGCTGGGAACCGTTACAGACTCAATACAGTACAGAAGGCAAAGCACTTTTACTTAACGGTTCTGAAAGCTGATTCATCTTCTATATCACCAGTTAAAGGAACAGAAGAAGGAGTGGAACAACTGATTATGGATTTGCCTGGAGCTATGTCTCTATCTGCAGGAGATTTCCAGAATTTACAAATGTTGGAGGCAAAACAGGATCCAAAAGACCAGAGAATGACACGTGCGGCCTACAAGCGTAAGGAAAGAGAACAGCAGAAAGAGGCTATGCCCCCAACATGTTCAACTACTTCGGAGCCAGTGGGAGGGGCCAGACCTAAAAGATCTGTCATGATGGATCTGCAAGGGATGATTCAGAAGCTCCAAAAGCCAAAGGATGGTTAAATTAATATATTTAAATGTTAATGGATTGAACTCACCACAAAAAAGGAGAAAAATATTTTATTATTTGAAGCAGCATAAGAATGACATTATATGTTTACAAGAGACACATATTATATTAAAAGATCAAAAGTATCTATTTAATCCTAAATTGGGTTTATATTTCGCGGCCTCTGCTCAAAAGAAAAAAGCGGGTGTAGTTCTTTATGTTAAGAAAGAATTGATGCCAAAGTTAATAGACGCTGATCCAGAAGGAAGATTTGTGTTTGTTGAAATTATTTTGAATGGGAAAAAATGTCTTGTGGGCTTATATGCACCCAATTTGTATCAACAACAAAAGCAATTTTTTACTTTTTTGCATCAAAAGATAATGCAATTGGATTATAAATCTGTTATCATGATGGGAGACTGGAATGGCGTAATAGATCCAAAAAGAGATAAAAAGACTTCAGCTAAAACTTCAATGCAAATTAAATTGCCTAAAAGCTTTTTTGCATTACAGGAAGACCTTGAGTTAAGAGACATATGGCCTGAAAGGAATATGGGAGAAAGTGATTTCACCTTTTTTTCGGATAGGCATCAATCTTACTCCAGAATTGATTTTATTTTGATTACTACTGATTTGATTCCTAGTGTTAAGAAGGTGAAGATTTTTCCTAAGATATTGTCAGACCATAGTCCTGTATGGATGGAGATTTCAATTGATGGAGGTAGTAGAAGGACTTGGAGATTAAATGAGAATTTATTGAACTATGAAATAAATGTGCAGAAACTTAAAGATCATTTAAAAGATTTTTTTACATTGAATATGAATAAAGGCACCTCTATATCGATGGTTTGGGACGCAAGCAAAGCAGTTATGAGGGGTGCCTTAATTTCAATGAATTCTGCTTATAAGCGAAAACAGCAACAAAAGTATAAAGATATGGAGCAAGAGATAAAAACAAAGGAAAAAGCTTTCTCCTTAAATCCAACGGATAAGAATTTAAAGGCATCTATTGCAATGTTGAAAGAACAATTTAACATGTTGCTTTCTGATCAAATTGCTACTAATTTGAAATATATGAAACATAATACATTTTGCAACGCAAATAAACCTGGAAGATGGTTAGCGTACCAATTACGTAAGAAACAAAAACAAAGACTTATTGAGAAAATGAACTATAAGGGTAAAGAAGTTTTTCAGCAGGAATTGATTAAAAGGGCTTTTTCAGAATATTTTTCTAAATTGTATGCCTCTGAGAATATACAATCTGATGAAATAGATAATTATTTACAACAAGCAAATTTGCCTGGTCTTTCTGAGGATCAAAAAGGATTGATGAATGGTTTGATCACGGAAGAGATTGCAGAGGCATTTAAACAATTGAAGGTTGGTAAGGCCCCTGGTACAGATGGGTTTACTGCAATTTACTATAAAAAACTATCAGAAGAAATGTTAGAACCCTTGAGATGTCTTTTTAATGATATTTTAATGGGGGGACAAATACCACCATCTTGGAGGTGTGCATTTATCTCACTTATACCAAAGGAGGATCAAGATATGACTCAGCCTAAAAATTATAGGCCAATATCCTTATTGAATACGGATTATAAGATCTTTGCAAAAATATTAGCTAATAGACTAATGCAAGTAATGAAACAGATTATTCATGTGGATCAGTCTGGATTTATAAATGGAAGATATATGAAGAACAACGTTAGACAAATTGTGAACTTGTTGGAGTATTTGGATAAAAATAACCAAATCCCGGCGGCCCTTATCTTCTTGGATGCTGAAAAGGCTTTTGATAAGTTGGACTGGCAATTCCTGCTACGGCTGGTTGATAGAATGAACTTTGGGGA